AAATGTTCTTTTTGGATTATAGTTTATACTTTGCCTGTGCCAAGAATTCTCTCGAAGAAGCTGTCAGACCTGCTCTCAAGGAGGAATTTGAAAAGGTCAAGGATGATTGGTTGCCCAGGACTAACACACCACAAAACAAAGCCTTTGACAAAAGAACGCCAGGCTTGTTCAAACTTGAATATTCTGGCACGGATATTGTCGCTCTCTGCTCAAAGACCTATTGTGTGTACGATGAAGAGTCTGACAACTCCAAGTTTAGTTGCAAAGGGGTCAACAAGCAGCAATATAAAAATCCCATAGATATGTATAAAAACGTACTCGATACCAAAGAAGCTACGACTGGAAAAGTTACTGGTTTCCGTGCCATTCACAATGGTATGTTTACATACACACAAGACAGAGTTGGGTTTAGTTACTTTTACTGCAAAAGAAAAGTGCTTGACGATGGGGTATCTACCGAACCACTGGATATTATACTCACACCACCTAATAGCAATAACACCATATAATGAAAACATGCCTCACTCTCCAATTAAATTTAAAGTAAAGTTATGTTGGATGCTTTGAAGGACTTTTTGCAGCTTAACAAATCACATGATGTTTGAATTATTTGTATGAACAAAAACAAATATTAAATTGCTGGGTATAGTTTATTTACAATAAATATATTACTCTATATTAACACATAAGTTGTTACATCTTTTCTATTCTAGGGAGTACGATGCTGAGTAATGTTATTACAGCTTTATATTTAAGTAAGAGTCTTTTCCTTTTAGCCCGAATATCCTTGCTCTCCGCCAGATATTCAAAGGTTTTTCTGTATGGTAGTAATCTTTGTTTATCCTTGGATGTTAGATATAAATGACCAACGAGAGTGTTTAGCATTATTTCCGTGACTGCCTTTAATTGTATGGGTGTAATGGTTTTGAGAAGTGACAGTCTCTGCATCTTGGAATCAGTGTTGACCAACAGCCACATATAGGGTTGCCCTGCTTTCATAGTCCTGCTCATAATGAAATCCACAGCTTTTTTCTCTTCTGCGTTGGTTTGACAGGTTGACCCGGAGGAGGAAGTAAAGGTCTTTTCAAGATTCTAACTCTCTTCGAAGTTTCATTTACTTTCTCTGTGTCGTTTAATGTCCAGGGTTGTGCCTCAGTTGTTTGTTCCTTGAACACTTGAGTCTCTTCTGCAGTTGTTGTCTCTAGATTTTCAGTTTGAGAGAAACTGTCCTTCTTTTCTACTGTTTCAGTCTTTGGCTCGATCAGTTTCTGGTACTTTTCGTAGGGCACCACTACCACTTTCTTGCTCATAGTATATGTTTTCTCTCCCTTGTCAGTTGAATAAATGAATAACTTTTACAATAACATATACTTTTATTTTATAGAATACACAAAACTGTCTTCCCCAGGAAATATACGGGTCCTTATCCTCTTCTCATTATCAGTGTTTGGAGTCATATCAACTACGAGGTAACCATAGGGACTACTGGTGGCATCTTGCCAGGCAGAAATCAAAATCTTAGATTTACCAGGAAACAGCTGACGTCCTAAGTGCTCTATTTGTGAAGATGCTCTGATGTTTCCAAACATCACCAAATATTGTGTGTTGAGCGCAATATTACGAGCGCTCTTCCCCTGGGGAAAAAGATTCTGCGTGAGGAAAATTACACTGATGCATCGATGATGGGTCCCTTGGGTGAATAGTAGTGACATCTTTGGATCTTTCACTACCATATCCATTAGGTCATCTAGCACGATGAGACAATGTCGACTTTCTCGAGTCAATTCTTCAAGCATATCTTCCGATGGTAGTCCCTCATGCATATCTATTTTTAAATCATTTTCCATTTCGTTGAATAAAGGCTGCCAGATCCCGTAACAATAAAGGATCTTATCCACGGGTTTGGTGAACATGCCATCTTTCTCTTTCAAGATTCGATACACCATGGAGGTTTTGCCACAGTTTGTGGCACCACTGATGCAAATACTGCTGCAGGCTTCAAATGGAAATAGGCTCTCCTTCTCCCACCAAGTCATCTCTTAAATGTTGCTGAACGTAGTTTACTGCTGTTTATAAATCCTTGACCCGAGCTTCACTTATCCAGGTGTTAAATTTTGCAGGATAACCTTTCCAAGATACTAACACTTGTCGCTTCTGTCCACGCCTACGTCTTTTTAACACTTTTTCAATTCTGAATTGTTGAGGTGGTTGAATCTTTTGCAATTCATCTTCGTAGAAATTACCTTCTAGATCTTCTCCAGTGCTGTCTACCAAGGAGTACACAGGGGGTCGAGTGTCTCTTCTTCCCTTGATGACAAAATGCTCTTGGCTCCAGCTCTGGTCGAAGCCTCTGTCAAAAACACCGCGATAAGCAGAAATACGGACGGTGTCTCCCACCTCAAACTTGAATCGAACTGGTTTAGATTTTTTTCGATTTTTTAAGTAAATGGTCTCCCACACCTTCAGTTCATTTTCCCTGTTGACTTCCTCGGGGGCCATCTGAATGGTTCTATGAAAGCTGGCATTGTAAGAATCGGCAAAATCTTGAAGCTTGTCGATGAAACGCCCATTACCCTTCTCGAAGAAGTAACGATTCATTTTAGCTTTTACAGTACGAATAACCCTCTCAGAAAAGTTGGCTTTGACATCTGATCTGGTCGTAAAATACCATATATTCTGCTCCTTCAGGAATGCTTTAACCAATCGGTTGTCATACTCACGACCTTGGTCAGACCTCAAACGCCCAGGCTTACGCCCCTTGGCCAGTACACGTTGCATGGCTTGTACCATCTCCCCTGCTTTTTTAGTTTTAAGGGGTTCTAGCCATAGATACTTGCTCAGTGTATCAATAAAGAAAGCAACATAGCGAAAGCCATCATTTTGAGAGGCCAGGTCAAGAAAAACCCCGGTGTCTACATCCCATTGTTCATCAATATGCCTCACTTCGACTTGTCTGCGTTTATATTTCTTTTTAGCTTTTCGGTAAAGGGTATAAGAGTCTTGAGAGGAAAGCCAATGTTTCAGTTCGTCTTTGGATATGCCTTCATCTTTCACCTCGTGCCAGAGTTGAGAAAATCCAGCATAGGACCCTGGTTTGTCTGTATCGTAGTAGTTTTTCTTGAGAATCTTCGATTTTGCCTTGGATAGTGACGTCAATTTAGGTTTACTCTTCTTATCCGAAAAATGTTTTTCTTCTTTCACTTTGGACTTCTTCATGCTTCAGATTTTAGAATAAAATGATTCCTGTCTCAACAATCAAGGGATTATAAAGCTAACAAACATTTATTTGAGAAACAATTTTATTTTCAGTTTGATTAACAATTTAGTGTAGGATTTATTTACAATAGTTTCTGAGTTGTGATATACATTTCTTTACAATCTTATCATTCACGATATAGTCTTTAGTAAATAGTTTATGTACAATAGTGCTCATTGATTTTCCTTCAGTTCTCAGCAAAATATAGAGGATGCAAAATTCTCCACACAGTTTACTGTCATCTCCTTGCAGTGCAGTGGTATTAATTTTCATTCGTGCTTCAAAGTTTGGAAATCCGTAAACACGAGGTGTAAGTCCCAGAGGGTCGAAGAACTCTATGTGATCATCTCCACCATAGTAAACAGTCCAGTGTCCAACAGTGTAATTCCAACTAGGATTAGTGTTCACCACGAAGCATTCATTTTGGCTAAATGTGAGGGGTATGGTGTCTTTAGAAAATACTCCCAGAAATGAGTTTTCGGTGTTAGGATGACATCTCAGTAGTGTCTCGATGTCTTTGCTCCACATGTTTACTGGAGGAAAATATTTCTCTGTGCATTCACTTCGAACTTTTGAGGAAACGTAGCCATCAGCATGAGATTGGTGGGTTCCTCTAGAGGCACGGCAAACTGTATGCTCACTCTGACGTTTCCTCTCTTAATAAGTGGAAAGGTCATCCCGTTGCCCGTTTTATCCTGAGCCTGAAGGTCAAACTTGAACAGGGAGTATCCGTCCTGAAATAAAGGCGGTGTGATGATGAGCCCTTGATCCTCCTCCAGGTCAGAAAATAGGCGATCGTACTCTCTAATGCATAGATGTTCAATGGGTGCAGTACCAAACGTGGGTCTCAAGGCAACCTCGGGAACGCTTGACCCGTTCACGCTAACATCCAGGTAATTGACCCGGAAGTGGTGGTAATTGAAGGGGTTTAGTTTGTAGGAACCCGTGACAGCAGCTGACTTAACCATGAAACATATCAGCCGAGAGGGAACGGTTCCTTGAAAAGCATCGTCGATCGAGAAGGATTGCTGTCCAGCAGGAATAGTGTATGCTTTGATCTGATTTTCGTCGTAGGGATAGATGGCATTCTTCGTTTTCAACTCTTCCTCGTAGGCAGCTAAAATGCTAGGTGATAGAGTTTTCATGGGCACCCTCAGATAGACGTCTAAAAGTTTCACTTTGAAATCAGCTCCATCTCCATCTGACATGAGCTGGAATGCATCTCTGGTGGGCGTCAATTTGATTTTGATTTCCACTCCATTTAACAGTAGTCGATCCATGTCAAACACATCCTCGAACATTCTTCCTTGCATGTCTACGATACCAGATTGAAGGGTCTCGATAAATCTTCTTTTAAGACCATTATTGTTTCCTGACTGCGCATTGCCACTATCCATGTAAAACGAGTTCGCAATAGTGGGTTCATCCATATAGAAAAAGTGAGACTTGAGGTGAGAGTGATGGGCCTCTGGCGGAAAATTCAAAAGTGCCTTGATGTGTGCTTTGTAAGGGTAAAATTGTATGGACGAGGCTATGTTCAATTGTAGCTCGACTTGTTGCCACAGAGCGTGTAACCATCCAGTCACAGGTGCTACATTGGAGGTATTCGTTGAAAAATCCAGATCCGTGCCGTCATCTTTGGTGACTTTGGCTTTCACATACAGTTTGGTTCCCTTGAGGTCTACATATTGAGAAGAGTTGTTGGGTATGACAAATTCCACAGGGCTGCCATCGATCAATGGGTTCACTGGGCGTATTTCCACAAAGTTGACTGAAGTCACACTGCTCTGAGTAAGAGGTGTTTTGAAAAGTTGAAGATTGTCCGCCACTAGATCTGCGCTGTTTTCTATTTTGAAGGAGTCCATTGTTTGTATTGTGCTCTAAACTCTCCTTTATGTTTCTTGCTCGGTGGTTTCTTTGGAACTGATGTTTTTGCCTTTCTCTTACGCTTATACAGAGTTTCCTGATCACGTGACTCTTGTTGCTGTCTTTCTATTTCAGCTTTGGCTCTCTGTACCACGGCTTCTGTAGGACTGATGTGTTGAACGATCGGTTGGCGAACAGATGACACTGGTATCCACTTTAATTTTCCTCGCTTACCATATCCAGCATGATCGATGACTCGGCCTTCTACTTGGGCCCGTATAAACTTCTTCCACACTTGTGGATCGTCTACGTAAGGCACTATTTTAGGCATGATGTGTTCACATCGGTTGCAGTTTCATAAATGAATCGATTGTATTGTCTTTCTATTTATATAGATGAATTTATCAGGGAGTTAATTTTGTTGACACACATCTCCTGCAACAAGTTCTGACTATCAGGAATTTTTACACACATATCAATCGTAAACTGAATGATAATATAGATTCTGCCTCGGTTGATGATTCCATCTTCAAACATGGTGTCTATGGAAGTTTTATATTGTTCCACAGATGTAACACTGTCAACCAATTCTTGCCACTCCATCAATTCTTTTTAAAATGTAACGTACAAGTCAGCCTCTTGTTGTCAAATGCTACGGATTGATTGTCACTACCTCTTAAATATACTAAGATCCTATCCACTTCTGAACGATTAAGGGGAAAATAAATAATAGGACTAAATATTTTCCATCCTTCACGGGGATTGATTCTTCTCAGCAGAGGTAGCTTTTTACCATGACAAATACTTTCGTTAACGATATCACAAAATATGTCCAGGTATTTAATATCATTGTTTTGTAGAGAAGATGTGTTGACTTCCACTAACCCTACACTCCAATTTCCCTCGAAGGCTAAGTAAGAAGGTAGCTTTACTGTAAATCTGTTTGCAGTATTAAATGGGAAGTACTCTGTAGAATCTTGACTGTCTAAGAAAATGTAGTGCTCCATACTCATGTTGTTACCTCTTTGCTAGTTTAACTGATAAATGTATTGACTTGAAGAGTGTAACCTATTTATGTTATGACATAAAAGACAACAATCATTTTAATACATGGTTACATAATTTATTTCATATTGAATTTATAATATATTTACATTAAATATTGTATTTATTGATGTTACTGATGTTATTGATGGTATTTGAATTATATGATAGATGTATATTCAAAGTCTTAAACTTTAAGGATAAATCAGTCTGATAAAATGTCATTGATTGCCTGTTGGTGTTCATTAGGCCATGCTATAGAAGACTTTAGTGCTTCTTGATCAATGTTTTCTTGCAAGTTTTGAATGTCCTTGATGCTTGGTAGCTTGAACAACTTGGTCAGTTTAAAAACACATTGCTTCACTTCAGAACTATTCTCCATGACTTTGACCAAAGCTGGTTCGAATGAAGCAAACAGATGCTCTTCCATAGGACTCAGACAGTCATGATGGTCTTGGGAGGGATCTTGAATGTCACAGGCTTCGCAGACATCACTAATCCCTTCAAGAATCTCACGATGAATAAGAAAAGTCATCACATAGAGGATCACATCTTTTACAGTTGGTTTCGAGAAGTTCATCTGAGACATGGTGAAGTTAGCTGTAATAACATATCAAAAGCTTTGTTATTTCATTCGAAAAGAGCTGTAGCAAATTCACTTAAATTAAATAAATTGTAAGTAAAATATACATACCTTTCTTCCCATCATTCAACATTTCTTTTAGAAAGATTCTCTCGGGCATATTCTGCCAGTTTCCAGTTTCTAAACTTCCGTCTTCTTTTTCTACAACACGTTTAAACAGTTTGATGGGTTTTGTCTCTGTATCATTATCTGCTTTACGCTTGTTACATGGACGAGGCATCAGTTCATCTATGACTGCTGCTTGTACAACAAGTGACTGCCAAGCACCCTCTGGAATGTTGATGGATCTCTTCAAGTTCTTCTCGCCTTCTTTATTGATTACTTCCAGACTAATGTATACTTTATCCATGAAATAAGACAATCCAAGCAATACATTGTCAGTGAGAAGTTTCTTTTCATTATAATTTTCTTGAGTTAACCAGAACTGCACTTGAACAAACTCCATTTTCAAACTCTGCCACAGCAGTGAACTAACATAAGTCCTTGCTTCATATTTCTCCTGGGTTTCTTGATTTCTTCTTGGTCTTGTTATTTCACCAAATACATTCCCCTTCTTTCTGATGTTGAACTTTAATTCTTCTCCTAGGTCAAATGTTTTAATGAGTTGACTCTTCGTTCCTTGCTTTGCCATGGTTGTTGTCAGAATGATGACTTAAACACTGCTCCTTCTTGTTATAAATCTGTAAAACTGGTTTGAACCAGTTACATCGGTGGAACATTTCTCTGATTGGTTGATTATCTTACATCTGATTGGATGAAAATATACTGTCCCCGATTGGTTAAAACAGTCCATACATACTGTTTCCTGATTGGTTAAAATGATTCTGCATCTCGAAATCTGATTGGTTAAAATATACTCTACTCTGATTGGTTAACATAATTCTGCAAGTTAAAACCTGTTTGGTTGAAATGGTTCTGCAGTTATCTTTTTTACTGTTTTATCAGTTTGTTATTCACCTTTGACCTATAACAATGAAACATCCATGAAGTAGACAAGATAGCTTATCACATAGTCACCAGGTTACCTTAACAGTGTTTGTTTGAATATCTTATCAGTTATCAGAAACCCTTGATCTTGCACCAATTATCAGTAACCTTTGACCAGTGATATAAAGTGGCATGATGGTTCTACAGCTTATACAACCTATGAAGTATGTGTCAAATATAATTGGTCAAATTGATATATTACAGCCATGTGATTGGTCGAAATTGTTGTGCAGTTATCTTTTTCACTGTTTTATCAGTTTGTTATCAACCTTTGACCTATAACAATGAAACATCCATGAAGTAGACAGATAGCTTATCATCACTTAACCACTCTCTTATCAATTATCAGTAACCTTTGAGCCAGTTATGTCACCAGGTGTAAGTGTAAGGAACACGTGACCTATGACGTCACTTCCAACACGTGACCTATGACGTCACTTCCGGTGTAAGTGTAACTTCCGGTGTAAGTGTAAGTACCGGTGCCGGTAGGGGGTCGAAATGGACGCCATATACTACTGAGCTCCACTTATTCCATTGCCTGTAATAACAGAGCCATTCAAGAAAATTGCCATGGATGTGATAGGCCCACTGGTACGCTCTACCAAAGGTAACAAATACATTTTATGTATTGGAGACTACGGAACAAGATATCCGGAAGCTGTTCCAATGAGAAACACAGATGCTAAAAGAATCGCTACAGAGCTGATGACTTTGTTCTCCAGAGTTGGAATTGCTGAAGTAATACTTACAGACCAAGGTACAAACTTCATGTCAAAGACCTTGAAGGAAGTCTACAGGTTACTAGGCATAATTGGAGTTACAAGTACACCATACCATCAGCAGACTGACGGCCAAGTGGAAAAGTTTAATGGCACCCTGATTAACATGTTACGCAAGTTTGTAGCAGATGAGCCAAAACTTTGGGATGTGTATCTTCCTTATGTATTATTTGCATACTGGGAAGTACCCAACAGTTCAACGGGATTCTCTCCATTCGAACTCCTTTATGGACGAGACGTTAGAGGACCATTGGACATATTGAAGGAAAACTGGGTTGCAAAAGAAGATACTCCACCAACAGTTGTTGAATATGTAGTTAAAATGAGAGAGAAGCTGGACTCTTTGGATAAGTTAGCAGAAAGCAATGCAGCAGATTCCAAGACAACACAGAAGAAATACTATGACAAGAAAAGCAAGGAATCTACTTTAGAACCTGGAGATGAAGTCCTTCTATTACTGCCTACAAGTGAAAACAAACTTGAGATGAGATGGAATGGACCTTACAAAGTGAAACAACGCCATGGAAAAGTAAACTACGAAGTTGAAGTTGGCAACAAGACTAAGATTTACCATATCAATCTTCTTAGAAAATACACAGACAGAGAGGAATATTGCTTCATGATGACAGAAGATGAAGATGACAGCGATATTGAAGACGTCATGGTCATATCAACAAAACCAGATGTCCAGATCAAGAAATATGACTTGAATGCTGAGATGACAGTATATCAAACACAACAGATGAAATCTCTGTTAGATGATTTCAATGATGTTCTTTCCAATGAACCTGGAAGAACAGACCTGATAAGACACCATGTCGACACAGGACAAGAGAAACCACATCGTCAACCAAGCTACAGAATCCCTCAAAGTCATCTAAAAACAGTGAAAGAAGAATTGGATTCTATGCTGAAAGATGGTATAATAAAACCCTCTACAAGTGAATGGTTATCAAATGTTGTTTTGATTCCAAAGAAAGACAATACAATTAGATTTTGTATTGACTTTCGGTACCTCAACAGTGTATCAAAATTTGATCACTACCTGATGCCAAGAATAGATGACATTATAGACAAGCTTCAGAAAGCAAAGTGGATTACAGTTGTCGATCTTTGCAGAGGATTTTGGCAAATACTCCTTACAGAAGAGTCGAGAGACAAATGTGCTTTTCGGACACCCTGGGGAATTTTCCAATTCATAGTGATGCCGTTTGGTCTCCATGGAGCCCCAGCAACCTTTCAAAGGATGGTAGATGAACTACTTAGAGGTGCAGAAGACTACATTGCAGCCTATCTCGATGACATCATCATCTTCAGTGAAACATTCCAAGATCATCTTACCCACGTGGAAGACTTGATGAAAAGATTAAGAAAACATCATTTGACAGCAAAGCCTGCAAAATGCCAATTTGAATACCATGAAGTTGTGTATTGTGGACACAAAGTTGGCAAAGGAAGAGTAACACTAAAACCAAGTGCTATAGAAGCTATACAGAAGTTTGAAAGACCAGAAACAAAGTCCTTACTCAAGACATACCTGGGAATGACAGGATACTATAGACGCTTTGTTGAAGATTATGCTACAAAGGCCTACCCTTTAACAGAACTGACAAGAAGACAGATTCCCAAGAAGATACCATGGGATGACAAAGCAGAACATTCATTCCAAATTCTGAAGAAAGAGTTGTGTGAACACCCTATCCTAAGAACACCAGACTTCAACTTGCAATTCATTGTGATGACAGATGCATCTGACTATGGTATAAGTGGAATCCTATGTCAAACATTTGATGATGGAGAACATCCTGTGATATACCTTAGCAGAAAGATGATGCCAAGAGAACGGAACTATGCTGTTATTGAAAAGGAATGCCTCGCAATGAAATGGGCTATTGAACAGCTGAGCTATTACCTGTTAGGAAGAGAATTTGTAGTTGTTACAGATCACAACCCTCTTGTTTGGTTGAAGAACATGAAAAACACTAACCCTAGACTCATGAGATGGTCTTTGTCACTGCAACAATACAGACTTACAGTGATACACAGGGCAGGTCGATACAACCAAAATGCAGATGCATTATCACGATTATGAATCTATTAAAACAGACATTAGTGAGAATAAAAGAAGTAGACATGAGGAAAATTATAATTCTATGCATTTAAAGACATTTCATAGAAACACAATTGTAAAAAGTGCATAATTGAGGACATTTGAAGTTTGAAGAATTGATCCTTAATTAGTGAAAGTTTTAATTTTTGGGAAAAAGCAATCCCTGAGAATTAGTTTAATGGACAATTTTTTTTAACTTTTGGGGACAATCCATCCCTTAAAGAAGAAAGTCATATCAGACGTGACTGTTTTATGGAAAAAGATAGAAAAAGACCAAAAACAGTCAAAAGAAAGGGGGAAGATGTAATGTATATGGAACTTAAAGTTTAAAGTTGATCAAAAGATGGCACTAGAGTAAACTAAACTAGACTCAAAACTGGAAAGTGCAATCAGAGAAGCCAATTATGATTTTGAAAAGAACAGTTAGTTCACAAAGAGAAGTCAAAGCATACACATGTAAGTATTATGTGAAGATATAAAATAAGAAATAAGAACATAACGTTGTACAAATGATCCAAGAACCAAATAAGCGACAACTATCAGACCTAGCGAGAGCATCAAAGGGGCCCCTCGTCATAACGTCCAGAACCCAAGATAGGCGTCGACAAGGTAGTATATAACAAGATAATAACAACATTACAGCATTCCACTCCCTGCACATGGGCAGTACCCATTTTGACCGCTAGAATTTTCACCAGCATTGAATATGAGCTATCGTATTTATCATGCATCCTGCCAAAGATAGCTGCGACTTTATCATTGTATTACTATCTTCTGTAAACTACAAAAATTACGTGTTTCATATAATATCTTGATATTTATTTACCATTTTCACAATGCGTACCTCTTATAAGCTAAAATACTCATTTCCATAAATTTGAAAGAGTACCACGACACTGAAACCTCGACTTTGTCATCATCAAGAAATTTTTCTGGCCATTTTATCCAGGTAATGCATCTTGCAAAAACATCACATTTTGGGCCAGTTGAATAATGACCAAAAAGGTTTGAATCAGTACAGGCATCATACCAATATGCCCCATTTCTTTCTGCGGAGCAATTGCCTGAATGGTTATCATTATCTCTGTCTTTAGTGCTAAACAGCTTGCCACTGTGTCGCTTCATGAACGCATCTCCTGCAGTACCGCTATAGCCGCTTAGTCTAAGTTTGTACTTGTTTGCCTCAGAATCAATGTCAAATCCTCCGTAGTTAGCATACTTGGTCTGTAAGTCCCATGTTGTTAGCTCTATACGTAATGCATAGCGTTTCTGATGTAACAGAGCAATAAGATTTTCAAACCCTATGAAGTACTCTCCGCTTGCATCTCCAAACCCATTTTTGTATTCTTCCCAATTTCGATTGAAGTTTACGGATCCATCAAACCTGCGTGCAATTACCAAGCGCCCGTCTCTACAGAGAACTGTAAATCTACGACCACTAAGGGTTACAATATTGGTGATGCTAAGTCCACCTACTCCGCGACAGTCATGGTGAACTGCAATGGTAATACTAATGTATAAAATTTAATCATTTAAATCTATATTATTTCCATTTCCACGGCTACCAAGAAATTAAGTGATTTAGACCGATTAACAAGCTTTAATATTTGCATGATGTCGAAAAGGTTAACGAACAAAAGTTTACACCTGCTGCAGTCGTCTGAGATGTCACTGACACGAGGCAGATTGTTTTCAAAACAAATATGCCAAAAATTATTGTTGTAAAAATCATCGTTTCTTTGCTTCTTATATTGCTGTAACAAGTACCGATGATGAGTTGATCAAACTCAATTCACGAGTACGCCCTTCAATATACTTATATATCA